TTTCTGGTCAGGCATCTGTGATTTCATATTGTTAGAGCATTCACTGTATTCCTGGGGGTTGCATCTTTCTATGTTTGCTGTGGCTGAAACCAAGAAAGAATGCACATGCAGATTTCTACAGAAATTATGACTCCATGAAAGATTTTGAGAAGAGGAAAAGAGCTGGTATCTTTCAGAATGCAAAGTGATTTTGCAATGTTAAGAATTACTTTAGGTTGAGTTTCATGGAGAATTGCCACTGACCTGTGTTCCTGAACTATGAAACATGAATATTGGGTTATGGAATATTTTTTCTGGATAAACAACTAACTAAAAAATAATAATAAAAAGGTCATTAAGATACTTACTGAAGAAGAATAAGTGGATAAACTCAGTAAGAACTTCAACAAAGAGATAGAAAATACAAAAAAAAGAGAGCTGAAAAATTCAATAACAGAATTTTAAAAAATGCACTGGAGGGAATAAAAAACAGATTAGAGGATGCTGCTGAACAAATAAGCAAACTTGAAGACAAGGTAATGGAAAGCAAATAAGCTGGACATCAAAAAGAAGAAAAAAGGAATAATAAAAAATCGGAATAAGTTAAGGGAAATCAGTGTAATCACCTTCACATTATAGGGATCTCAGAAGGAGAGGTGAGAGGAGACAAAAACCTTATTTGAAATAAAAACTGGCTGAGTAATACATCTTACCATTTGCAACAACATGGATAGAACTAGAAGGTATTATGTTAAGCAAAATAAGTCAATCAGAGAAAGACAAATATCATATGATTCCACTTATATATGGGATTTAAGAAACAAAACAGAAGATCATAAGAGAAAGGAGGTAAAATTAAAATAAGACAAAATCAGAGATGGAGACTCTTAACTCTAGGAAGCAAACTGAGGCTTGCTAGAGGGGAAGTGGGTGGGGGTATGGGGTAACCAGGTAATGAGCATTAAGGAGGGCACATGATATAATGAGCACTGGGTGTATATGTAACTGATGAATCACTGAACTCTACCTCTGAAAATTGGGGTGATGCAGCCTGGGTAGTGGTCCACACAGTTCAGAAGGGTGTAGGGTCAAACACAGACTAACCAACACAGAACCTATGTCAGTGACCCACAGCACCTAGGTGCTTCTTCTTCTGAGGCCAGTGCAGGAGATCTGTCAATGAGTTGTGAAGCAGAAATAATATGTCTTCTTTTTGGGTCCAGAGAACTAAGACTGATGTTCTTCCAGTTTTGCATGCCAAACTCTCAGAGCTGCCCTTGACTCCTCCATATCCTTCTCACAACCAATTCTTCAACAAATCATGCTGGCTTACCTTTGAGGTATGTCCAGAACTGGACCACATCTCCTTACCAGATATCGCTCTACCTCAGTTCAAACTTCCACCATTTCTCACTTGGAATATTGCAATATTTTTTTCTAATTGGCCATACATTACTTGCCCATGATTCTCTCTGACTGTGTCTTCTATCACTCCTTCAACCACACCAGCCTCATCAGCATCACTTGAACATGCTGTGCCCACTTCTATTCCCAAAGTCTTTCTGTTAATGGTTCTTTTGTTTGAACAAAATTTCTCTGAATGTACTATTCCTCCTTTACTCATTAAGGTCTCTACTCAAATGCCCCCTAAGCAGATATGCCTTCCTTGACCATATTACATAAAAATACATCTTTCTATCTTTTCTCCCTGCTTCATTTTTCTTCATATCACTTATCAACATGTTACATATTGAATATTTATTATTTCTTATGTTCCCCAAGTAGAATGTAAGCTCCATGAAAGCACTGATTTTCTTTTTTTCACTGCTTTAGCTCCAGTGCCTAAAACAGTGCCTGCCATATAGTAGATTCTCAAAAAAAATTTCTTGAACAAATGAACAAACATGGTCTCTAGTGTCATATCCATTTGAATATGCATGAAGAAACTCTGATGCTTTTTCATACCTCAACAAAAAATCATTCACTTGTCACCACAAAAACATTGTCTTCTGCCATGATTTTCTCTACTTAAACTTATGGGTTAGTGAGGCATGCTCTAAAACTATTGGGAAAAGCAAGACCTTGACCAATTGCTCATGTGCTATAGGGATTTTAGTTTTCAAGATATTTCATATGTAAATTTGTATGTCTTTGACTTTTTATGTGCAAGTTGTAGAATTGGTGATTACAGTCTAAATGCTCTAATTTGTCAAAAATGTCTCAGCTAATTTCTTGTGGTGAGATGACTTCTGTAGTTACTTTTATATCCTGCTGTCTCAAGTCAGAGAACCATCTGAAAAGTGTTTCTCTTCAAACACCTCCGGTCCCCTGTCTGTTTCATTTAGTGTCCATTTCCATTTGTAGCATCTCAGAGTCTCTGGACACCTGAAATGGTGGTTATCTTGTCTCTTCCATAAAAACTTCCATTTTCCTACATTCTATTCCCATAGAGTTCTAGTTTCCATCTTAAAATAGTTTATTCAGTTACAAAATTTTATTTTCATAATGTATTTATTAATGTGGTTGACTTTTTAAAAAGATTTTTTGTATTTATTTATTTATTAGAGAGAAAGAGAGAGAGAGAACAAGCACCAGTGGGGAAGGGGCAGAGAGAGAGGGAGAAGCAGACTCCACACTGAGCAGGGAGCCAGACATGGGACTTGATCCCGGGACCCTCCGATCATGACCTGAGCTGAAGGCGGATGCTTAACTGACTGAACCATCCAGATGCCCCAATATGGTTGATTTTTTTTAAATATCCTGGGTGTTGTACTCAACTGTTGAATCATTGAAAATTATATCAAAAACTAATGATGTACTATAACTTGGCTAGTTGAATATAAATAAATAAATAAATAAATAAATATTTTATTTATATATAGAAGACAGGTTGTTCTACAACAAAATATATGCATGTTGGAGAGCTGTTAAATTAGAGGAAGGAACTTTAAAATCATGAATATGAGAATGGAAATAAATGAAAGAACCATAATTTAATTAGGAGTGCATCATAAGTCTTTCGAATGATCATGTACTTAATTATTTTCTTTAATTATTTCCCTTAAAGGATTAAGTCATAGTATGTAACGGTGCTCCTCCAACAATAGTGGGTCACAAGCATATAGTCTAAAGTCCAAGATGAGTGCCTTCCCAATCCATCTGGAAATCTATTTGCTGTCAATTTCACAGGGTTAAAATATTCATTTCCATGAGTTACATATGAAAATAGAACTCTTTATTAAAACTGTCAAACATAAATAACATGCTTTATGAACAATTATTCAACAGAAATTCCTCAAGTAGACTATCTTCCTTCATTGAGTATTTCTCCCTTCTTTCCTAGTGTCATCTTCTAAACACAGTCTTATCTGTGGACTCCCTTTGGAGTACCGGAGTGTTATGACACCATCTGGGTAGTAACAGCCCATGATAGTATCCATTAAATGACACACTCCTCTTATTTGAGATGGCTTAGAGATAATTTTTATTCTTCAGTGAAGGGATATTTTGACTCAGTTTCAAGGATTCTCTCAGCCATTCCTCTAGGAATACTGAAAGGACCATGTTTAATATTGTTGACACAGCTGAAATTTGAAATAAATATTTTAAGTTTTCTGGAACTCAGCTTTGTATCTCTGTAATACAATGTCCATTGATGGCCTCTGAGATATTTAAGGGAGAAGTTGTTAGATTGTTAGTGCTCCTTCTGTTTCCTTTTCACTGGAAAACTGTTTTTATGTTATTTCAGTCATTTTTTAAAGATTTTATTTATTTATTTGACAGAGAGAGAGCACAAACAGGGGGAGCAGCAGGCTCCCCGCTGAGCAGGGAGCCTGATGTGGGGTTCAATCTCAGGACCCTGGGATCATGACCTGAGCCATGGTAGAACCTTATCCACCTTAGCCACCCAGGTGCCCCTATTTCAGTCATTTTTTTAAAGGAAATGTGTAATAAGTTCCCTAGTGTTCTAGTCATATGGTATATTTTCATTTTTTTTTTGAAATATATCAACATTTTGGAAACACCTATAATGTATCCTGCTTTAAATTTTATTGTTATAAATATTTTCAATCATTCATATTTTTATATCACAAATCTGAGTCCTTTTTTCTTTATTTTTACTTTCTCTTTACTCTGTGTGCTCAAAATTTTAAAATTATGAACTATTCCAAACATCAAGTTTATTTTCTACTATCTTAAAAATAACATTAATTTTTGCTAGCCACCTTAACACATTCTATTACATACATTATAAAGAGATCAGAAAACTTTAAGACTGGGAAATTATTTTGCAAGGCAGGTCTAGAAAATTAGGTCAATAAGTACATCGGAGGTTTACAATCCTTGGTAAACATGACAATCACTAAATGGCCTGATGGTCAGATTCGTGAGCCAAATTTAACAGATTCTAATTCTGCTAATCTGAGATGGTCACAAAAGTGGTATATTTTGTGAAGTCAAGAAATGATTCTAATGCAAGTGATCAGAAAACCACTCTTTGGAAACACTGACATAGAGTGAAGACTATTTTTACAGGAGTAAGAGGAATTAATAGTCCTTTTAGAACAAAGCAACACTGGTAAATTTATCTGACTCCTGATGATTTATCACCATGCCCATTGATTAATTTTATCAGGGAATTATCCTGAGGTATCTATGTGCTTGGTACTTTTTTTTTCATTCTAGGGATGTAGACACTGACCTTTTTTCATGGAATCAACATGAAACTTTTGGAATACTAAAGAGCACATTACCATCAAGTATGAATCATGAAGAGAATTGATGTACACAGTTCCTTGTCCTTCATCAGCACATCATCTAGGACAATCAAAAAGAAATTCTAAACGGAGAAAGGAAAGGATAAACAATTTTTTTCCCTGCAGATAAACTCAGTAAAATGAGTTGGCTTTTCCAGGATCTTGAAGGGATTATTATTATTTTTTTTTTTAACTGACAAAATGTCCCTTTGCTGGTGCATCTTTGTTTCACCTATGGGTGATAATGGGATTTCTGCCATTTACCTGGAGGACTGACACCTCCCCCATTAACTCTTTCAGTGCACTTAGAACTTCCTTGTTCCTAAGACTGTAGGCAAGAGGGTTTAGGAGTGGAGTGAGGAGAGTTCCAAACAGAAAGAGACCCTCATTCAACTTTGGAGTCTTGGCAGAACCAGGTCTCATGTAGATGCACATACCTGGACCAAAATAGAGACCCACCACACAGAGATGAGAGGAGCAGGTGGCCAGAGCCTTGTTTCTGCATTCTGCGGAGTTCATTGGGAGTACAGCAAGGAAGATGCGAACATAGGAAGACAAGATAAGAGATAAGGGCAGCAGCAGAACAAGGATGCTTGTTATCACCACTGCCTTCTCATAGGCTGTGACATCCTCACAGATGATCCTAAGCACAGCCATGACTTCACAGAAGAAGAGGGGAATCTCTCTGGGGCTGCAGATATTATTTTTCTCTAAAGATTTTATTTATTTATTCATGAGAGACAGAGAGAGAGAGAGGCAGAGGGAGAAGCAGGCTCCCTGCTGAGCAGGAAGCCCGATGCGGGACTCGATCCCAGGATTCTGGGATCATGACCTGAGCTGAAGGCAGACGCTTAATGATCTGAGCCACCCGCGCAACCGGGGCTGCAGATATTAAACTGCAAGGTAAAAGCAGTGTGGCCCAGGGAGGTAAGTGCCCCTCCAGCCCAAGACATGGCAATCATTTGTAAGCAAACCTTAGGACTGATGATGACTGGGTATGGGAGAGGATCACATATAGCCACATAACGATCAAAGCACATGAAAGTTATAATGGCCACAGTCAGGGAGAAGAAAATTTGAGTGCCACAAGCCATGAATGATATGCTCCGCCATCCAGAGAAGTTGGCTGCCATCATGGGGACAATGCTAGAGGTCAAAGTCAAGTCCATTAAGGAGAGCTGACTGAGAAGGAAGTACATGGGGTGTGGAGATGGGAATACAGCCAAATGAGGAGGATCAGAAGAGTGTTGCCAGTGAAGGCAGCCATGTAGATCAGCAGAATGATGGAGACCATGGCTGTGATGTGTTTAAATCCAGGGAAGAAGCCCAGGAGAATGAAATCTGTGGTTTCTGTCTCATTTCCACTCATGGCTCTCTGTAATGATAACAGAAAGATAAGAGATTTATTAAAAATTTCATAGAAACTAAGCAGTTTCTTAATGTTTAAGAACAATGGCAAATATAAAAATCCTCATCCATAATCACTTGAATCAGTTCTTACTATTTTTTCTATATTCCTTATCCATGATTTAATGTACTTTTAGAAACCAGAGTATATGTATTAAAATGCATTCCATTACTTTATGTATTAGAGGTATTTTCATATATTAAAAGAAACTGGATAATTGTAGTTTTTTTTTTTTACAATTTTAAAATATGATGAAGAGTTAGTAAGTCACAGTTTCCAATTGCACCCTGTCCGATTTTTTCACTATTCTAGAAAATTATGCTATTTCCATTCTCATCTTTCTAGTGATTTCCTTAGTAATATTTTTGAGGAAAAATTTACACTTATTTCCAGGTCAGATATTGTAGATTTTATTTGGCTATGAAAAAAATTGATAATTTAATTTATAGAAAGATTTATTTTTGTAATTTTAAAACACTTCTATTTTACTCAAGCCTTTTGGCTCTGGACATTATAATTTAAGGGAAAAATTGATCATTATGGTTATAGTTTGTGTTATACACATTTATGATAATTTAAGATTTTAGCCTTATTTTCTATCCAGGGAAAACACTTACTGTATTTACATGGTCTATAGTAAATTCAGATTTATCAATGAGGGAGAAAGTTTCCTTTCTACGTGATCTTGTAAGGTTCTTACTGTTGTAGAAATCATACTATTCTTAACTACTAGCTACAGCTATTTTGCCATTCATGGGTACAAAGAAAATCTTTAGGGTTCATTTCCCTCAAGATTTACTATTTTTTTTCCTTTTTAGACTATCTTAGCTATATTTAATCTTCTTCCCTGATACCTATAAAATGCTTTAAATATCTGCACAACTCTTAATGAGTTTATTACAAGAGGGAACACACTCCTTTGGAGGAGACTCATATGACCTTGTTAAAAACCTGATGATGACAGTACAAGAAAGGGAAATTGTATTCATGAAAACAGTTTCCAAAAATATAAAGAAAAGAGCAAATTGACCCTAATGGTCTATAAAAAATATATAATTACTTGAATTTAATGAAAGGCAAGACTAACATCAGAATATTCCTAAAGTTTATTCACCATTTAGAACAGAAAAAAAAATATGCCCTTTGCATTAATTACAAAAGCTTGATAAAATTTCTTATTAAATCGTGTTTTAAAAACCATCCTAACAAAATGGTAGTAAAATAAAATACTCCAATATCCTATTCTATTATGTTCTTGAAAAACTGTGACATTCATTTGTTCATGAAGTTCTTGAAAATATCATTTTTTAATTGTTAGGCTACTCCCTTCTTCTGAAACCTGTGTTTATGTGTATGTGCTACAACATTAACAGTGACATCTAAGTTTCCTTTGTTATTTACAGAAAGGACTAAAAAAACCTGTTGCCTATGTCCACCTAGTACCTTCTCCTTAGAAACAATGTGTTCAAATACTAGGTCATAGATTACTTTTCTAACACTTGTATAGATTGATTTCAACTCATTGCTTCCATGCAGATACTTGATTTTGATTTGTTCACCAAAAGAGTATCCACTTTTAAAGAAATTATAATAACAAATATCCAAGTCTGTTCTCTCTTTACTCACAAGAAAAGCCTCAAACTTCTTGGGAAGAACCAGAAGGCCTCTGTGGGTTAGAACTGCCAGAAATAGGCATCTGTCTTTACATATCCAGCTTTTATTACAGCATTCTATGTTGATCACCTTCAAACCAAGAGATCACATACTAATGTGATCATGTACTGTAATGTCCAGAGCCAAAAGGCTTGAGTGAAAGGCCTCCTTCCATTGGGTGTTTGATTGACTTGATGAGTTAGCCTGCCTTAGATATGGAGATATAGGCATGAATTAGCCTGTCTTAGCTGTGGAGTTTAAGATATAATAATAATAATAATAATAAATAATAATAACAAAGATAATAATAACAATACTAATGGCAAAATTAGCCAGCATGCATCTCTCTTCCCTGCCTTAAAGTAAGTCTTGGTGCAGTCAGTGGGTTGTCTATGCCTGAACTAGAGTTATCAGATGGTGAGAAACAGATTTCAGAATGTCCAGATCTTTGAAAATTCTCTAACTTTTCAGAAAAGCAAAGCAGGGCCCTGTCCGATTTCTAGATCAAGTGCTGTTTCCTGAGACTTTTGAGTATCCCCATGCTTGGCTAGGTTCTATTATAAACTTTCCTTCCAAATTCTATTCATCACAGCTGGGATTGAAACCTAAATTTCATTTTTTTGTGTGTGTGACTATATGTTTTCATATATGTCTTGCTCCTTAAACCACAAGATTTATGATGGAAAGGACTGTCTTTGCTAAGTTCTACCTTTTCTCTTTAGATCTAGCATGTTGCTTTCAGTGAAAATATGAGTTAAATACATAATCAGCTCAGGGCTGGAATCTAGGCATTTGAACACTGGATTTTGTACCTGGAGCAGACTAGATGCTTTTAGCACAAACAATCATTTTTCTACTGAAAGGTAGAAAGGTATTTTGACCTATGATCTTTTATGGGCTTCAAAGCACTTTCCAACATTTTATTTTGTAGGAATATATGGGGGGAGAGTCAGCATTATTACATTTACTTGATAAATGATATACAGAAAGAACCAGGTCACAGTCAAATAACACTTTCCTATTCCTTGGTAAATTATCTATTTACCAAGATTGAGCCTTACAGATACTATTGACAAATAACCATATAGTTAGCATAAGTGGATTTTCACAATCTAGGAAAACTGGGTTACTTCCTTTATTAAGATGCTTACCTTGTAATTTGTGTTCAGTCTTTGAAATTTCTTAGAGAGTATAAAATATTCAAAATTCCTGCTGCCAATTAATTCTGATACACTTTTTTTTTAAAGATTTGATTTATTTATTTGACACACAGAGAGAGCGAGAGAGAGAGAGAGGGAGAGAGAGCACAAGCAGGGGGAGCGGCAGGCAAAGGGAGATGCAGGTTTCCTGCATGAGCAGGGAGCCCGATGTGGGGCTCAATCCCAGGACCCTGGGACCATGACCTGAGCTGAAGGCAGCGGTTTAACCAACTGAGCCACCCAGGCGCCCCAATTCTGATACACTGTTAAAGAAGAAAACATAAACTATCTCAGTAGGAAAAACCAGGTAACTGAGTAGGTCTTGATAGGCTGTCTCTTCTCAGCCTGCCTAGTTGTGAGCAGGGCTGAGATCTCCCTAATTCCCCAATGCCATGGGGTTTAGTATGGAATGCCTGGTCAGACCAAAGACTGCAGCCCCACCAGTTTCCCATTAAGGGCTAAGGCACCCAAGTATAGCATCCTGGAGGAACCCTCTCCCCAGGATATAATTAGAGTTTTTCAAAACTCTCTACTAGTACATGCTCTGATTTTTTTTTTGGTCAGCACCACTATCATTTTCCCAGAGGTCCAATTTAGAATTTTTCTTTGCCTTTTAGTCATTAATCCCATACAACCACGAAGCAAGTTATAGATTTTTCCTTTCTAAGATCTCTTATTTTCTCCTTCCCAGAAATCACACTTTAGACCTGTACCCCTGTCCAGAATTATCCCCTTTACTTTATCTTTTTAGCTAAATTTTCCCTTTTCTTCAAGGTCAGATGTCTCACCTCTGCAGTAAAGTCTTCCTTTATGTCTATAGTGTATATCAACATGATTTTCTTTTTTTTTTAAGATTTATTTATTTATTTGAGAGAGCGAGAATGAGAGAGAGAGTACATGAGAGGGAAGAGGGTCAGAGGGAGAAGCAGGCTCCCCGCTGAGCAGGGAGCCCGATGCGGGACTCGATCCCGGGACTCCGGGATCATGACCTGAGCCAAAGCAGTCGCTTAACCAACTGAGCCACCCAGGCGCCCTCAACATGATTTTCCTAGTTAATTATGACATCTCTCTTTTGGTTTATTATCTTCATTGTACTGTTACCATTACCGATGTTCTAACACTCTCTAACAGTTAACAAGAAGATTTTAAACTATGAAAAGCCTAGGGTTTTGCCTTAGTGTTCCTTTTGTTTCCTTTTCCTGGTAGATTATTTTATTCTTAGTAGGCACTGACTTTACTAATTAAATTAAATTTCATTAAGATCAACAAATGGTATACTATATACTGGGAATTTGAAATGGAAAAAAATAAATTCACTAAAGCTTTTTAAAATGGGGGAAACTGATTTATGAAGAAAGAGATTATGGTATGGGTGATAAATACTGCAGTAAAAGTAGGTAGATACAACTATAGCAACAAACAGACAAAGGGTTTTGCTTGTTTCGATGAAAGATTGGTGGGAGATCAAAGAATGGTTTCATGGGACTAGTAACATCTGAGTTGGGTCTTAAAGGACAAGTACGGATGAATGAAAATAAGGAATGATGGAAATTGTAGCATAAATAGCTGCATATGATGTCAATGCAAATGGATTGGCATGGCTTTTATGGGGAAAATCAGTCATCTATATTTCTTCTGGATACAGAAGCTGTGGGGATGGATGAGGAATGGTGTTGGAACATAGACAGAGAAAGGTCAAAATGTACAAGAAGTATAGGGGAGGGGAGTGTGATACAGGCGGTAATCCACTGCACCCCAATCCCTACCCAGGAAAGAAGCTGCTATAATTAATATAGACAGTGTGAAATAAAGTAATGGTATTAGAATAAGCAACATGTTTAACTGACCACATTATTGAAGCCAGACTCAGCAAAGGCCTGAAGAATTAAAGGAAATGTGAGGATATTTTGTATTTGGAGATAATTTATTCATTTTTCAC